GTTTCAGGTATATTTCAGAAATGTTTCAATGTAATATTTTTGAAATATTTTCGAAATGTGTTTGTGCTGTATTGGAAAGTCCTCAAGAATAAATTAATATCGAACAATGCATTAAGATGATGCTTCTCATTCTTTTATTCCTAGAATAATATCTGCTAAGCGACTTAACCTATCTCTCCCACAGAATTTAGTAGTTATGTTTAGATTTTTCATTAATTATTATTAATAATTAATATATACATATTTTTAATTAATTTACTTATTATTATTTAGGATTTTATTATTATTTAATAACTGTAATATGTATTATTGTATTGTTTTAATGGGCTCTGGCCCATACATAAATAATATACCTCCATTCAAAAATAAAAAAGTATTTTCTGTAGTACAAATTTGAACACTAATAAAGTCAGTTAAAAAATAGTTTTTAAAACACTTTAACATTTAAACATTATAAATTCATAATTATATTTAATTTTGTTGATATTAAAATGTTATTGACCTTTTTTATTTAGTAATAATACCACGAGTGCTATCAATATAAGCATGGCTTCGCTGATTTACTGAATGTCTTGCATGAAGATATACACCTTTCAGTCTGAATCTACAAAAGTACCAAGACCAAGTAAGATTAATCCACATTTTGATTTCCTGAATAGTGCATCTACCTACACAGAGATTGCTTATTAGCCATTTTCCGCGAGCCTTGCATTAGGTTTCGTATCTGATCATCGAGCTTTTAGTGTATGAACATTTGTTCTTAATTTCGAGAAAGCTGTTAATTAAAGTAAGGTTAGATTATTTGACATTTGCGACCTTGTACTTTCCGATTAAAAGATAGAAGCATTAGGCTCATAGAAAAACAAAAAACTAAATATTGGGCTATTTATGTGTAGTGCAAACGTGTGACGACTGGTCCAATAAATCGAACTCTGTTTACTTTTGTCGCTTATGTGAACCAAAAATGTACTATTTATTTTTTCTGTGAATGATTTCAACGCTTTAGGGTTAATTTCACAATTGTGTTAAAGTTTAAACTATTAATTGAAGATTAAAATTACATTTTATGTAAAAATGTAATTTTAAACTTCGTTAAACCCAATGGTGGAATCGGCCCCAAGTTAGTTATATCATGGTCATTGATTAGTTGCAATTTTGCAAATAATATATTCTCCAGCGCTTAATAGCCACTTGAGTGATAATAGGTTATATTTTATTTCTTTCATTTACTTTATTCAGCACCTTTCGGCTGAAAACCGGGCATATTTAAGCTTTTAAACCCCCTTCTTTTATAACCTCGGCCTTCCACTACCTTTTAAGTCAATGTCAATAAAAAGGAAATTTATTTTTTTATAGTTTAAATAATGATATTTAACCAGAAATAGTACAATAAGAACTTGTAAATCCGGTTCTGCTCTTCCGCCATTTTAGTGAGTGCAAAAGCCACGCCTACCGGTCCCACTTTTGTATATCAAAAATAATACATATGACGTATCCTTACGTTGCCTTATCAATGCTTGTAAAGGACCCTAATTACGAATATACTCGATAACGATTGGTACCTTGTTGACGAACTGACAGGATCCAAACGTTGTAGGACAGTTTATACGGGCATTTGTCCTTCAGATAAAATGAAACTGTTTGTTACGAAAGTTTCGGAAAGCGATAATAGTGGAGCCGTATATTTCTCATGGAAATATTCGCGCTCATATTCATTAATTTCAGTTTACTTAATATAATATATTGTTTGCTTTGTATGTTACAGATTAGTCTTCAAGAGGACGCGAAGGTTTGTCAGGTTAGCCGACTGTAACCACTCAGATGTTTCGCTTATCACTAGGCTAGGACCACCCTGTCATGACTCACGAGTGCTACTCATATTTCGTAAGCCGGGATACAACGGCGCGTGTAGTGGCACTCTACGCGCCAATTTTGCCAGTTCCCGCTCCGTTGGATAGGACAGGCTTGCCAATCTTCGGTCGGCGCGATGAGTCCCTACGTCTGTCGGTAAATCAATACGGTTCAAAGGGGCGCGCAACACGTGCTTACTGCTTACAGCTCCAACGGCGCGGCTAGGAGCTGGGTACCAGGGATCCCAGATCTCACGATTTATCGTGAGATCTCACGATTTAGTACTGAGTCTCACGATCTCACGATAATGCGCCTGAATCTCACGATATTTTTTAGCAAGCTGCTTGCAGTAGCGAACCTTAAGTTTTTATGTAAAACGATTCTTTTTAATTAATCAAACAATTGAATTATGCTGTAAAGTCCAACCCAGGAACGTGCTAATGCGTTGGCTGATAATGACGGACGACTAACACTTGACAGTCCCCAGCAAGTGGTCGGATACTTTCCATATCTGGCCCTATCAATATTTTTAATAGTCTCAAGAATTACTATCAATAGTAATAGTACTATCGAAACTATACCAACGTTGATTCAACGGTTGATACGTAGTACACTAAAGTAATACATTTTATTTATAGAAAAAAAAATATTTGAAATAAAAAATGCACCAGTAGGTAAGCAGAGACATAAGAAAACAGGTGGAGGCAATCTTTAAAACAGATTTATCATCTATAGTACTGAATTTGCTAAGTGCATTCTTATAATTTTAGTTTATTTGATCGAATTGCGTGAAATTGAATTTAAAAACTACTAAAAACATGTAAATTTAAACTATCGAACAATCGATAGTTTTCGATAGTAACACACTATCGATAGAGATGTACTGAGATTTGAAAGTCGGTCATTCCTTGCTCTTCGCTCGGACAAAGTTCATCAAAATCGAAAATACTATATATATTATAATGAAACACGGAATCCCAAGAATATCAAGTTAATGATAAAAAGTCTTCAAAGAAATAAATTTAAAAAAGTTTCATCTAAGTATTTAGACTACACCCTGTATAGTGATAAATTTGACAAGATCAAAAGTAACTAAATGTAGTGAGACAATGTTACCACACGAAAATTATAATTTTTAAAATGTAAATTTGTAAAAAAATTACAACACGGATTTCAAAATAACCTATTAATTAATGAACGATAAATTATCATCGAAATTATGAAATAAGCCGTTTAAATAAACTCACCTTTAAAAATCCAATAATCTAATTTTAAAGATGTAACTAAACTGTCAAAATTTTGATTGGCTAATTACTTTTTCATCCAACTTGATTCAAAAATCCAAATCAGAATTTTGTTGATGAAACAAAAGAGAGTGCTAGAAAAGTAATGAAAGAGGAAGGACACAAAATTTTTTCCTTCTAATTTCCTCTCCAAACTCCTTTTTCCTAAAAATAAAGAGACAGAAATATTAAATCTTCAATGTTTATGAATAAATGATTAACTAGTGTACACATGTCAAAGGTAATATTAAATTTAACTTACCCACGCAATATTATGTAAAACTGCCCGAAGAAGAGTTCCCAGGAAGTCGGCGATCACTGCTGTATGCATTGGCATACAAGTCGTAAGGCCTCCATTTCCCCCAGGTACTTGTAGCATCCTTCTGTTATGGACGCTGAAAAGAAATAAGTTTAACACTAGGACATCTTATATTTCACAGTGCTATACAGGTATTTCAATTAAAAACTATCATTAGTGACCAATTAAAAGAAAGTACTTACCAAATTGAGTACTTAAGTAATCGTAAAGACGATAAATCTTTCTATTTTTTGTACAAAATAACATCACAATGTTGTTCAGAAATTTTGATTTGATTAGGTTAGAATTCCATATAAGCCATCTTTTGTCCGTCTTGAGAAATTACCATATAGCCGGTCAAAAGAGATCTACTTACGTATTTAAAAGCGCCGTACGGTGGGTAGAATATTAAGTTCGATAGGTAACTGTATTTTTATAGTATAATACGCCATTTTCGATCCAAGAATCGATCGTTAAATGACGAATTATTTTATTATTTTTGTTTCTATGTTAATTTTTACATTTATGTAACAATATTCTGTTTCTTTTTTCCCACATTAGTTACAAAGAATTTTTGAACTCGCACTAAACCCTGATATCAATTATTTTAAATAAAACTACAAGTTATACACAGAGTCTCAAACTTTTACTTATTTTTATTTCTATACAAGAGCTGACAATATAAGAGGTTCAGAGGTAAGTGTCTTAAATACATGGATGAAAATTTTTAAACCCATTAGTTAAAAGAATTGAGTCATTTCGTTTCATTAATTGCATTAGATAACATTACAGCCGGAGCATTAAGTATTTGTATGGGGGATGATGATTCGTGATTTAAATTATTTAAAGCTCATTACAATTATAACGTCACAACGTAGTGCAATATATTTCATAAAAAAACATTCCCCATAACAATATATATTTAGCTAAACTGCGCATGCGTAGTACAATCTCACGATTTCTCACGATTTTTACACGATCAAGCTCACGAATTTAGGCTCAGTACATCTGGGATCCCTGCTGGGTACTGTCAGTGCCGTGGTAACTTTCATCATGGAGTGGTCTAACGAAGTGGTGTTAGAATTTGTATCATTCTATAAAGCCGAGCCGACCATTTCGAACCCACGGGATCCAAACCATAAAACCAGAACCTTAGTTAATGATGCCTGGAGGCGAATTGATGAGAAAATGAGAGTCAAATATTCAATCGCAGATTTGAAAAATTAAATTAGATTTAAAGTTACAACCTAATATTATTTGAAGTCGTAGAAAAATTATAGTGTATAACGCGTGTGAAAATCAGTTTTCAACACTTGTTGCAAAATACTCTATAATGTACTTACCTATCTCGATTTCTATACAAAGCCATCTTCTTTGTTTTCATTTTATTTTTTGTCCTCTTGCCATCCTGTAAACTCTTTTCGTGCAATTAAACAAAATTATGAAATTTTTATCGCCAACACTGCCGTCATAAAACACTGCAATAGACATGTTTCCACGTCTGCGTGATCCTCATGCGCCGTGGGAACAGTCCTACCCTTGAATAAAAATAACTTCTAGTATTATGTCATTTATTTAAAATTTTGCATAAAATTGTGACCTAAACTGATATGGACTATCAAGAAGCCATCATTTTAAAACATGCGATTACCAAACGTGACATTTATGTTCGGGATTCATTGGAGTACCCGTGAGGCAATTAAAATCTCTAGAAAATAATTCCATGTTAGATAAAAATCCGTTGACCCTGAATTTATCTGGAGAGTGTTCTTCTGTGATAATCATTTCTTTTAATTTTTCTTTTCTAATTTTTGAACACCAAACGTTCGCTGCTGAGATCCAAAACAATTGCCTTTGGGTGTAATTAAGTCCCGGTAAAAGTGGTTCTTCTGCATTTCTGCTGACCCATCTTTCGTAGGCCATGTACGCTTCCTTGATGCCTCCGTTGTCTGCTATATTTTCACCTTGGGTGTTAATTCCATTCAACTGGAAAATAATTGAATCAAATATATTACAGCATTTTTTGGAGTGAGGGTAGCCATATGTGAGTAGTAGGGATTAAGTGTAAGGGTTAAAGAAAAGGTCCTTTATTTCTCACAAGTCAATTTAATTGGCGACCAATTTCGAAGTTGTCACTTCATCATCAGGCACACCTAAATGGAATGTCAAGGAGTCAGTTGTAATAAAAACAATTATAAAAGCATGAACGGACTTTATTATATACAAAATAACAGAAAAAACACAAAAGAAAGTTAAACAATAACCTTGACTCACCTTGACTAATTCCATAAAGGAAGCGCTACAAAAAGTTTAACAGAACGAGTTAAAAAAGTCATGTGTAATAAGTATTTTTTTAAAAAAATTTAATGTAGGTTAGGTTAAACCACCAGATGTCTGTTTGAATAAAATAATTAATTAAAACACATTTAAGACAATTATTAACTAAACAACACAAAATAGTTTTACAAGCACAAACAGTTTAAAAATGTTTAAGGATATAATGTTAATTACTGAAAGTAAAAAGTAAAAAAGTAAAAATTATCAGACTGTCAAGACATCTATCTAGATTTTTAACGAATCAATGCAGTAAACTGTAAATTTTAAATTAGCGGATAAATAGTGTACTAACGAAGGTGTTATTTACTGAAAGTGAGTATAGGTGGCGGTGACAAAATTTATTGGAAGTAAAATATATTAAACTGAGAATGAGAAAGCAAAAAAATTTTATACTAACAAGAAAATTAGAACACTAAACAAGAAAATATGAAAATTCATATGTAAAAGGGAAATTTGAAGCAGATAATCAAAAGAAAAATTACTGTTACAGGAAACGGAAACTAGGTTGACAGTACGAATGTCAAAAAAGAAAAGTCAAATTTTGGCGTATGACAACCACGTAGGAGAATTTGAATAAGCTAAATTTTTTTTTTTTTTTTTTACAGCACCATGAATTACATTTTTATATTAGTACCAAGTTTAAAGTTGCTCTTTGTTTTGTAGAAGCGATCGGACCTAGGCATATACATATTTATGTCTTGTGTGATATCTACTATAAAAAAGAAACTATAATAAGGTTGAAGGCTGTTGTTAAAACTTTACTTACAAAAACGAATCTTAAGAGTTTAAGGTGTTCAAACCTAGTAGTATTTTACCTACATTTTCAAAGATTTTAGAAAAACCAAAGACATTACAACTAAGAGACCAAATTGTTTACATTTTTATGTGGCAAATCATTATTTCCACCAGATTCTCGTTTATTGCGTCTTTGCCGATTTTATCAGTCTGTCAAAAAATATTTGGAGAAATTACTTTCGAAAAATAAAATTTGATGTGTCCTGTAACTATAATTGTATATTATATAAATAAAAATATGTTTTTAATCAAATTATTCTTTGAAATTTTAATATAAGCTAAATTTTTTATTAAAAAATCAATATTAATCTAAACAAAATATTAGGGTTTCGAAGAACTCCGTAAATACGGCAACGCTGAATATCTTATTTTACGAATTTACAATTTTTATGAATGAAATGTAGTACCGTAACCAGCCGCAACGTTGCCAACAGCTATTTTGTATTTCTGACAGTATCTGACAGTTTCTGTGTGACTTATTGATTTATTCATTTATAAAATACTATTTTTGTGAACTTTTGTGAGAAATATAAAGAATTATGGTACATGCATGTGTAGTGTTCAAAAAGGTAGATCATTTAAGTCGAAATGTATGGTTTTATCGGTAAGTATTTTTAGGTTAAGATATGTTGTTTTCATTTGAACCAGTGGAGTAGGGCTTGTACAAGATTTGATACAATTTCTTATAGAATTTAAATTATATAGGATCACATAGTAAATTGTTTGAAAAATGATTACCCAATCTAATTTTTTAGACAATTTACTGCAGGTTTCATAATACACAATTTAAATTGTATAAGAAATTGTATCAAAAACTTGTGTAGTCTAAAACAGTCTTAAAACAGGTTTTAAAGTGATATTCCTTTTATAAATTAGTAATTTTTTCGGTATTATACGCCGACACTCGAACGGCGGATATAACTATTGAAATGTTATAAAGAGTTTCTAGACACTTGGAAACACACTATGCATAACAATTTTAGGTCCGCTAACACTTATTTAAAAAAAAAATTTACCTTAAAATCCTGAAAATCCTTAAAATTTGTTGTTGGGTCTCCATCATAAAACAAATGTGAAATAAACCATTTTCACTGATTTCTTGTTGTAGAAACGGCTAATATCAATATAAGACCATTCATAGAACAATAAACCGTACCAAATTTTTTCATAAACAATCAAATTTTCTTATTTTTCATTTTAAGTTTGTTAGAAAAATAAATAAACATTAAATTATTTTTAATGACAATTGATGTGTCTAGTTTCTATAAATGCGGTGTTGCCAAATCGAGTAAGAAAACATATAAGTCAGGAAATAGTTCGGTTAGTGAAAGTTGGCTGAAAAATTACATAGTGTCTGGCCAGCAGGTAAATTTGGATCTCAAAGTGAAAACATTTGTAGTAATCACAGATAACCGTCTTTTTATTTTATTTCATGATGATTGTACGTTAAATACGGCATGTCGGTACTTACCTAATATTAAAAAAAAAAATTAAATTTGAGCTGTGTCCAGGCCGTTGGAGTTTATGCCGGTCGGCGTAGCCAGGTATGGTTTAAAAATTTTCTGGTGGCGGCAAAGCCGCCACCTTACAAGAAGTCGTTCTTTCATTTTCTTAATATAAGATGCTCACGATACAAGACACGTTCGTTAAAAGTTGGGATCGAGGTTCACTGGCCAGACGCTAATGAGAGTTGGTAAGGTAAGGTTAGGTTTTTTTTTTAATTTGAGCTGTGTCCAGGCCGTTGGAGTTTATGCCGGTAGGCGTCGTAGCCAGGTATGGATTAAAAATTTTCTGGTGGCGGCGAAGCCGCCACCTTACCAAAAGTCCTTTCTTCATTTTCTTATTGTATATTTTCTTATTATTAGATGCCCACGATACAAAACACGTTCGTTTAAAGTTGGGATCGAGGTTCACTGGCCAGACGCTAATTAGAGTTGGTAAGGTAAGGTTAGTTTTTTTTTTTCAATTTGAGCTGTGTCCAGGCCGTTGGAGTTTATGCCGGTAGGCGTAGCCAGGTATGAATTAAAAATTTTCAGGTGGCGGCGAAGCCGCCACCTTACCAGAAGTCTTTTCTTCCTTTTCTTATTGTATATTTTCTTATTATTAGATGCCCACGATACAAAACACGTTTGTTTAAAGTTGGGATCGAGGTTCACTGGCTAGACACTAATAAGGGTTGCTTAGGTTAGGTTTTTTTTCAATTTGAGCTGTGTCCAGGCCGTTGGAGTTTATGCCGGTAGGCGTAGCCAGGTATGGTTTACCAGAAGTCCTTTCTTCCTTTTCTTATTGTATATTTTCTTATTATTAGATGCCCACGATACAAAACACGTTCGTTTAAAGTTGGGATCGAGGTTCACTGGCTAGACGCTAATGAGGGTTGGTTAGGTTAGGTTTTTTAATTTGAGCTGTGTCCAGGCCGTTGGAGTTTATGCCGGTCGGCGTAGCCAGGTATGATTTTAAAATTTTCTGGTGGCGGCGAAGCCGCCACCTTACAAGAAGTCGTTCCTTCATTTTCTTATTGTATATTTTCTTATTATTAGATGCCCACGATACAAGACACGTTCGTTAAAAGTTGGGATCGAGGTTTACGGGCCAGAAGCTAATGAGGGTTGGTTAGGTTCGGTTAGTTGAAGAGTTTTTAAAACTGGAGGGGAAAATTGTATAATCCTTGCAATTTAAAAAAATATCAATATTGACGTCGAAGAGTATTCTGCCGATGAGGGTGAGGAAGAAGATCTTGATATGGGTATTTTTTAAATTGTTAGTTTTATATAATTTTTCTAATACTGAAGTCAATTGGTTGGCCTGGTACAACGCAGGGCATAGGTAAAAATTACCATTGCTATGTAATACATAATTGATATGGCAACATTGTATTTCTTTTAGACACATGTCACACTGCCAATGTTAATTGTCATTGCGGTTATGAAAATTTGATCATTTTGACGAATTTCACCTTGGTCGTAAATTAAGAAAATAATACTATTTACGAGAAAATTTGGATGGTTTATTGCATTATGGATGGTCTAGTGTTATTATTTAGCAGTTTCTATAACAAGAAATTAATCAAAATGATGTAGTTTAAATTTTTTCAACATCGAAATTGGAGGACACATTTTAATAGTTTTAAGGTAAGAAAAAAATATTTTTTCTACGACCACTTAGGAAAGTGACACATATCACACTATATAGTCCTATGGAAAGTGCCCTATATCACACGCGTATGAATAAGAATTTACTTTCCACCCGAGTGAGAATATGTTACTTTCCGCAGTAATTGTCACAAAATGTCAAACAGCTAATTTCCATTTTGATCTATGTAATATCCATATTAATACTAAAATCGATATGATTGTTAAATTATTGAAATTGTTGTAAATTAGATCCTAGATATTTATCTTTAACAATTATTATTAAAATAATTTTAAAATAATGTTTGCTCTTTATTCTGGTTGAATACATAATCGATTAGATCATTCAATTGACACAAGGGCTATTAGCTCAGGTGGTTAGGACGTCGAACTTATCAACTTTGCCATTTTTCGACCGCGTTCAATCGATGGTTCAAATCCTGGCGTGGCAGAAATTTTTTTTGTTTTTTTTTGTTTTTTTTTTCCAGTTTTTTTTTTGTTTAAAAAATATGAAAATTGAATAAATACGATTATAATTGTTGATTATTTTTTTAAATACATTTTAATTATTATAGTAATAATAACCTTGGTTTTACATTTTTTAGATGATATTATTTTGTGGTCGTAGGAAAAATATTGTATATCACTTGTGTGAAAAGTGATTTTCCACACTCGTAATGTAATATACTATTATAGCGTTTGCAGGGCAAAAAAAGTATTTTG